ATGCGCAGACCAGCTGGCTGGTGTGTTTACGGACATATTCAATCTCTCCCTTTCCCAGTCTGCTGTTCCCACATGCTTCACGTTGGCCACCATTGTTCCTGTACCCAAGAAAGCAAAGGTAACTGAACTAAATGACTATCGCCCCGTAGCACTCACCTCTGTCATGAAGTGCTTTAAGAGACTAGTCAATGATCATATCACCTCTACCTTACCTGCCACCCTAGACCCACTTCAATTTGCTTACCGCCCCAATAGATCCACAGACGATGCAATCGCCATCACACTGCACTCTGCCCTATCCCATCTGGACAAGAGGAATACCTATGTAAGAATGCTGTTCATTGACTATAGCTCAGCATTCAACACCATAGTACCCTCCAAGCTCATCATTAAGCTCGATGCCCTGGGTCTGAACCCCGCCCTGTGCAACTGGGTCCTGGACTTCCTGATGGGCCGCCCCCAGGTGGTGAAGGTCGGAAACAACATCTCCACTTCGCTGATCCTCAACAATGGGGCCCCACAAGGGTGCGTGCTCAGCCCCCTCCTGTACTCCCTGTTCACCCATGAATGCGTGGCCACGCACGCCTCCAACAATCATCAAGTTTGCAGACGACACAACAGTAGTAGGTTTGATTACAAACAATGACGAGACCACCTACAGGGAGCAGATGAGGGCTCTGGGAGTGTGGTGCCAGGAAAATAACCTCTCACTCAATGTCAACAAAACAAAGGAGATGATCGTGGACTTCAGGAAACAGCAGAGGGTGCACCCCCCTATCCACATTGACGGGAACGCAGTGGAGAAGGTGGAAAGCTTCAAGTTCCTTGGCGTACACATCACTGACAAACTGAAATGGTCCACCCACGCAGACAGTGTGGTGAAGAAGGCGCAACAGAGCCTCTTCAACCTCAGGAGGCTGAAGAAATGTGGCTTGGCACCTAAAACCCTCACAAACTTTTACAGATGCACAATTGAGAGCATCCTGTCGGGCTGTATCTCCGCCTTGTACGGCAACTGCACAGCCCGCAACCGCAGGGCTCTCCAGAGGATGGTGCGGTCTGCCAAACGCATTACTGGGGGCAAACTACCCGCCCTCCAAGACACTTACAGCACCCAATGTCACAGGAATGCCAAACAGATCATCAAGGACATCAACCACCCGAGCCACTGCCTGTTCACCCCGCTATCATCCAGAAGGCGAGGTCAGTACAGGTGCATCAAAGCTAGGACCGAGAGAATGAAAAACAGCTTCTATCTCAAGGCCATCAGACTGTTAAATAGCCATCACTAGCACATTAGAGGCTGCTGCTGCCTATTAAAATCACTGGCCACTTTAAGAAATGGAACACTAGTCACTTTAATAATGTTTACATATCTTGCACTACTCATCTCATATGTATATACTGTATTATATTCTATAATATTCTACTGTATCTTAGTCCATGCCACTCTGTCATTGCTTGTCCATATATTTATATATTCTTAAATTCCATTCCTTACTAGATTTGTGTGTATTGGGTATATGTTGTGAAATTGTTAGATATTACTTGTTAGATATTACTGCACTGTCGGAGCTAGAAGCACAAGCATTTCGCTACACCCGCAATAACATCTGCTAAACACGTGTATGTGACAAATACAATTTGATTTGATTTGATTTGGAAGACTGACACCACAAACGTGTTGTCACTGAAAAATACTGTCGGCTGCAGTGTACAGTAAGTGTATATTTTGCATTTGTGAAATTATTTTGATGTAATATGAAAGTAGTGGTTTTATTTTTCTAGAACCCTACCGCATCTAAGAATCGATTGACGTTTAGATGGAGTATTTGGTTGTTTTGGCATCCAGAGCCAATTGGCCTCTAAACAGAACGTGTAAGGTCCTTGGACAATAAGGAGTAACATTAGGCTCCTTTAGTCCATTATTGGGCTAGGGTAGCACTAACAATGTGGACAGCAGAGAGTAGGGAATTTAGGTTAATTTATTCTCTGCCAGCATAGTGAGTTTCATCATCTAGCCTAGAGGTAGATGAGGATTTTGCCAGTTAATATTTTAAACAGCTTTTTTGGTGTCCTCAACGTGTGCTGGTCTGCAGATTGTGCAGTTTCTATGATGATTAGCAAAGTAACTAAGAATGTCAGGAGTTCCCAGAGGATTGTAAGTCTTACATTTAAAGCTAGAATCCTTAGTTGCTACATCAATTTTTGGACAGGTATTGGTGGATAGGGTAGCACAAATTAATAATATATACCCATTGATTCTTGAATAATTTAATTTCTAAATGCCTCATGAGCTTAGTTCAACTGTCATTCCCCATCAGAACCCAAAACATAAGATGAAAACAACGTAGATGTAATCAAACACTGCATATAACCTCAAAACATGGTTAAAACTATAATTTGTATATAATCTCTATAATTCTTTGGAATTTTGATATCATCAGCTCTGTCTATGAATTTGAGAGTGGTTACATTTCTCCAGCCCCATCCCTTAGCTTTTTCGCGAAACAGGAGCGGGGACGCCTCTGTTTTGGTAAAAAGCTGAGGGATGGGCCTGGGGAAATGGAACTACTAAAATTCATAGACAGAGCTATGGATGCAAGGACTGACCATACATGATATCAAAATTATAGTTTTAACCATGTTTTGAGGCTATACAGTGTTTGTTTACATTTACATTGTTTACAAACATTGGAGTAAAACAAGCTAATATTATGGGTTCTGATAGGGTACGACAGTTGAACTAAGCTCATGAGGCATTTATAAGTTATATTATTCAAGAATCAATGGGTATATATCATTAATTTATAGGTCAAAAATAGATGTAGCAACTAACGATTCTAGCTTTAAGTATACCTCTCTACGATCCAAACTCCAACACACACACCCACTGGAACATATGCACACACAGACACATGCAAGCAAGAATGCATGCATGTATGCACATACACACACCTATTGTCATTATATAGAGATGAATGTGAAGCCAAAAGCTATTTAGCATCAGTGGTATTGGTATTTGGGGCTAAGGGCTACTATAGTAAGATACACTATATATAAAAAAGTATGTGGACACACCTTCAAATGAGTGGATTCGGCTATTTCAGCCACACCCGTTGCTGACAGGTGTATAAAATTGAGCACGCAGCCATGCAATCTCCAAAGACAAACACTGGCAGTAGAATGGCCTTACTGAAGAGCTCAGTGACTTTCAACGTGGCACCATCATAGGATGCCACCTTTCCAACAAGTCAGTTCGTCAAATTTCTGCCCTGCTAGAGCTGCCCCGGTCAACTGTAAGTGCTGTTATAGCCGCGAAGTGGTAGGCCACACAAGGGACCGTCGAATGCTGAAGCGCGTAGTGCGTAAAAATCACCTTTCCTCGGTTGCAACACTCACTACCGAGTTCCAAACTGCGTCTGGAAGCATTGTCAGCACAATAACTGTTCGTCGGGAGCTTCATGAAATGGGTTCCCATGGCCGAGCAGCCGCACACAAGCCTAAGATCACCATGCGCAATGCCAAGTGTCGGCTGGAGTGGTGTAAAGCTCGCTGCCGTTGGACTCTGGAGCAGTGGAAACGTGTTCTCTGGAGTGATTAATCACGCTTCGCCATCTGGCAGTCCTACGGACTAATCTGGGTTTGGTGGATGCCAGGAGAACGCTACCTGCCCGAATGCATTGTGGCAACTGTAAAGTTTGGTGGAGGAGGAATAATGGTCTGGGGCTGTTGTTCATGGTTCGGGCTAGGTCCCTTAGTTCCAGTGAAGGGAAATCTTAATGCTACAGCACACAATGACATTCTAGACGATTCTGTGCTTCCAACTTTTTGGCAACAGTTTGGCGAAGGCCCTTTCCTGTTTTAGCATGACAATGCCTCTGTGCACAAAGCGAGGTCAATACAGAAATGGTTTGTCGAGATCGGTGTGGAAGAACTTGACTGGCCTGCACAGAGCCCTGACCACAACCCCATCGAACACCTTTGGGATGAATTGGAACGCCGACTGTGAGCCAGGCCTAATAGTCCAACATCAGTGCCCGACCTCACTAATGCTCTTGTGGCTGAATGGAAGCAAGTCCCCGCAGCAATGTTCCAACATCAAGTGGAAAGCCTTCCCAGAAGAGTGGAGGCTGTTATAGCAGCAAAGGGGACCAACTCCATATTAGTGCCCATGATTTTGGAATGAAATGTTTGACGAGCAGGTGTCCACATACCTTTTGTTCATGTAGTGTAGGTGTAATGTCTTTATTCTGTTTTCACATCTGGGTCTCTCATGGCCACCACATGTTGTTAAGTTGCTGGCTAACGTTAAACTCAGAGCACTGTGTAATTTAACCTACTATTTTTGAATGTGCTTCATTTGGGACATCCTGTTCCACTACTTCCTTGATGGCAGCCTCTCCCTCTAACCTCTACCCAAGCCCCCAAATATCCTCCAACATGTGTTCCAAATTACTGCCCTCACTTGGCCCTGTCTTTACAACATTTCCCATTTTGAAACACTCAGCAAAAAAGCTGCTCCATTTACCCTTTGAGGAAACAAGTTCAAGTCTGAAATGTGAAGGCTCTGTTAATGGTCTGCACTGTGTTTGTCTTCTAAAGAATGCCGTCACTGTGTCCATCTGAGGGAAAGGAGAGCCTGTAAAGTAGTCACCAGGCAGACCAGCTTGTGTCACTTTAGCCTGGTCCTTTCTCTTCTCAGACAAACTAAATAAAACATTCACGATGTCTGCACTCTCTGTGCCCATTCTTCCTCACATTCAGCTGGTTACACACTGGTTGGCTACCCTAAGTTACAGTATGATGGTTAGAGCTATATGACACATCTGAATATGCTTTGTGAGGACATTTTACATTTACATTTTAGTCATTTAGCAGACACTCTTATCCAGAGCGACTTAGTTATTAGTGCATTCGTCTTAAGATAGCAAGAGGCCACAACCACATATCACAGTCGTAGGAAGTACATTCTTCCTCAATAAAGAAGTTATCGACAAATGGTGAGGGGTGAGGATTTATAGCAATGCTTTTCTTTTCAGATCTGAGCACAATTTTGATCGTGCTGCATTTTCTCCTTAGAAATTGCTCTTTATTTAGACAAAATTGTCATTGATGTTCTTGAATGTGATGATGTGTGGATATGATACACTATATGTACAGTTGTGGTCAAGAGTTTTGAGAATGACAGAAGTATTGGTCTTTATAAAGTTTGCTGCTTCAGTGTTTTTAGATATTTTTGTCAGATGTTACTATGGTATACTGAAGTATAATTACAAGCATTCCATAAGTGTCAAAGGCTTTTATTGACAATTACATTAAGTTTATGCAAAGAGTCAATATTTGCAGTGTTGACCCTTCTTTTTCAAGACCTCTGCAATCTGCCCTGGCATGCTGTCAATTAACTTCTGGGCCACATCCTGACTGATGGCAGCCCATTCTTGCATAATCAATGCTTGGAGTTTGTCAGAATTTGTGGGTTTTTGTTTGTCCACCCGCCTCTTGAGGATTGACCACAAGTTCTCAATGGGATTAAGGTCTGAGGAGTCCTGGCCATGGAACCAAAATGTCGATGTTTTGTTCCCCGAGCCACTTAGTTATCACTTTTGCCTCATGGCAAGGTGCTCCAACATGCTGGAAAAGGCATTGTTCGTCACTAAACTGTTCTTGGATGGTTGGGAGAGGTTGCTCTCGGAGGATGTGTTGGTACCATTCTTTATTCATGGCTGTGTTCTTAGGCAACATTGTGAGTGAGCCCACTCCCTTGGCTGAGAAGCAACCCCACACATGAATGGTGTCAGGATGCTTTACTGTTGGCATGACACAGGACTGATGGTAGCGCTCACCTTGTCTTCTCCGGACAAGCTTTTTTCCAGATGCCCCAAACAATCGGAAAGGGGATTCATCAGAGAAAATGACTTTAACCCAGTCCTCAGCAGTCCAATCCCTGTACCTTTTGCAGAATATCAGTCTGTCCCTGATGTTTTTCCTGGAGAGAAGTGGCTTCCTCGCTGCCCTTCTTGACACCAGGCCATCTCCAAAAGTATTCGCCTCACTGTGCGTGCAGATGCACTCACACCTGCCTGCTGCCATTCCTGAGCAAGCTCTGCACTGGTGGTGCCCCGATCCCGCAGCTGAATCAACTTTAGGAGATGGTCCTGGCGCTTGCTGGACTTTCTTTGGCGCCCTGAAGCCTTCTTCACAACAATTGAACCTCTCTCCTTGAAGTTCTTGATGATCCGATAAATGGTTGATTTAGTTGCAATCTTACTAGCAGCAATATCCTTGCCTGTGAAGCACTTTTTGTGCAAAGCAATGATGATGGCACGTATTTCCTTGCAGGTAACCATGGTTAACAGAGGAAGAACAATGATTTCAAGCACCACCCTCCTTTTAAAGCTTCCAGTCTGTTATTCTAACTCAATCAGCATGACAGAGTGATCTCCAGCCTTGTCCTCGTCAACACTCTTACCTGTGTTAACGAGAGAATCACTGACATGATGACAGCTGGTCCTTTTGTGGCAGGGCTGAAATGCAGTGGAAATGTTTTTGGGGGATTAAGTTCATTTTCATGGCAAAGAGGGACTTTGCAATTAATTGCAATTCATCTGATCACTCTTCATAACATTCTGGAGTATATGGAAATTGCCATCATAAAAACTGAGGCAGCAGACTTTGTGAAAATTAATATTTGTGTCATTCTCAAAACTTTTGACCACGACTGTACAAAAGTATGTGGACACTCCTTCAAATGAGTGGATTTGGCTATTTCAGCCACACCTGTTGCTGACACGTGTATAAAATCGAGCACACAGCCATGCAATTTCCATAGACAAACATTGGCAGTAGAATGGCCTTACTGAAGAGCTCACTGACTTTCAACGTGGCACCATCATAGGATGCCACCTTTCCAACAAGTCAGTTCATCACATTTCTGACCTGTTAGAGCTGCCCCGGTCAAATCTAAGTGCTGTTATTGTGAAGTGGAAATGCTACCTGCCCGAATGCAAAGTGCCAACTGTAAAGTTTGGTGGAGGAGGAATAATTGTATTTTTTTACTTTACTTTATTTAGTAAATATTTTCTTAACTCTATTTCTTGAACTGCATTGTTGGTTAAGGGCTTGTAAGTAAGCATTTCACGGTAAGGTCTACACCTGTTGTATTCGGCGCCTGTGACAAATAAAATGTGATTAGATTTGATGGGGCGGCAGGTAGCTTAGTGGTTAAGAGCGTTGTGCCAGTAACTGAAAGGTCGCTGGTTCTAAACCCCGAGCCAACTAGGTGAAAAATCTGTCGATGTGCCCTTGAGCAAGGCACTTAACCCTAATTGCTCCTGTAAATCGCTCTGGATAAGAGCGTCTGCTAAATGACGTAAATGTAAATAATGGTCTGGAGCTGTTTTTCATGATTCGGGCTAGGCTCCCTTAGTTCCAGTGAAGGGAAAGCTTAACGCTACAGCATACAATTACATTCTAGACGATTCTGTGCTTCCAAATTTGTGGCAACAGTTTGGGAAAGGCCCTTTCCTGTTTCAGCATGACAATGCCCCCATGCACAAAGCGAGGTCCATACAGAAATGGTTTGTCGAGGTCGGTGTGGAAGAACTTGACTGGCCTGCACAGAGCCCTGACCTCAACCCCATCGAACACGTTTGGGATGAATTGGAACGCCGACTGCGAGCCAGGCCTAATCGCCCAACATCAGTGCCCGACTTTGCTAATGCTCTTGTGGCTGAATGAAAGCAAGTCCCCGCAGCAATGTTCCAACATCAAGTGGACAGTCTTCCCAGAAGAGTGGAGGCTGTTATAGCAGCAAAGGGGGGACCAATTCATGTAGTGTATGTGGCAGATATCTGTTCTGTCTTCTGCTCTAACCAGTCATTCTGTCTCTTTTGTTAGATGATGCAGCTGACCCGCGTGTTTGCCTTATCTGTGGAGACCGTGCCACAGGCCTGCACTATGGCATCATCTCCTGCGAGGGCTGCAAGGGCTTCTTCAAGCGCAGCATCTGCAACAAGCGCGTGTACCGCTGCAGCCGGGACAAGAACTGCGAAATGTCACGCAAGCAACGCAACCGCTGCCAATACTGCCGTCTGCTCAAGTGTCTACAGATGGGAATGAACCGCAAAGGTAAGGGGAGACCAAAGAGGCAGAGTGACAAGCAGATGAGAGCCACACATGCAGAGTCCTAGATTGTTCTAGAACCACAGATTACATTATAAGAGCTCCAACAGCTGTCAGCGCTCAATTAGCTCTGTAGGTATGTAGCTAGTGCCCTCTGCTGGATTGACTGTGTAAGTGAACGTTCTAATTTCATTGTACTATTTCCTGATTTTCTCCTGTGGCACAATCAGAGCAGCCACCACCAGGGAGAGCCATAGTACCGACGTTGCTATCGCAACCCCCAAGGAATTGGACTTTGCGTTTTGAAACCCAAACATACTATTTTAATTGTACTTTGTGTTGTGTATGCCCTGCACCTCTTCCCCATATATTTTGTTGGGGTGCTTATGGCTGTTCTTTGTGTTTTCCAGCAATCAGGGAAGATGGGATGCCAGGAGGGAGAAACAAAAGCATTGGGCCTGTCCAGGTAAATAGTCACTGCGCACTCAACTACAGCTAACTATCAGTTTCCAACAGTGCCTTTGAGATTTCAGAATTTGAATCCGTTCCTTTTCAATTGAATTTGCTTAGAACCCATTGTTGACAGTGATTTTATGCTCATATTCACATATAATTTCATTAGCTGGCTTTGAACAAGGTAATTGGGAAAATCAGCATCCCTTATTGCTTGCAGCACCAGTCATTATTTACAATGTTCCATCTATGCTATTAACATTAGATGGAGAATTAGCCATGCTTTTCAACAGTAATTTTGGCATAGCCAAGATAGAGTAATTGCCTTTAAGACTAAATTATATTGTTTTGAAATGCATGCATGTAAAGTAGTGAGTGTGTGAAAGAATGCGTGTTGGTGTGGGTTGATTGTCAAATCTCATATCAGGGAAAATGCCTTGAAGGAGATATGAAGGAGAGGAGCGGGGTGGCGAAAGAGAATACTACTTTTCAATTCACATTTCATCCTTACCTTACCTTTCGTTGTGGCTGGCAACGCGACATTCTTGTTCCACAGCTCAAATTCACCTCAAATGTCACAGTAGCCACTAGCCAGTAAGCACAAACTATTTAACAATGACAGAAACTTTTCTTCTAAAACATGTTACACTATTGAATAATGCAACCAAACCATATTACACTCTTGAATAAGGCAACAATGTGCAGACAATGAAAGGGTTTATCTTCTTGTCGGTAGGCTAATCTAAATACATTTTAGCTTCAAGACAAAAGCACAGAGTTGGTATAACAGCATGTCTTCATCAAGTCACGTTAGCCTATTAGAAATGAACGATTAACCCTCTCATATGGATATAAAAGTACAGTAGGCCTACCTTACAACATTACAACAAACCAGGTTTAATTTTTATCCTGTTTTTATAGCCTAAGCTATGCATTTATAGCCTAAAATAGGCCCATTTATTTGTGTTCTGAGAAAATGTGAATGTGATCAAATTTGGTTTATATTCAAACTTCGGGTGGCTAGGCTACCTACCTACCTTTTTAATCCACATTTATTGACTGGAATTAATCAATCACCACAATAGTGATGACATACTGTATGGGTACCTTTTTAATACACTACAACTAGGGTCCGGAGTTGGTTAGGTTAGCCTACTACCAGATCAGGAAAAACTCTGGGCCCCAGGAAAACAAATGTTACAAATGAAAAAACATATCCTATTTGGATGATCTACATTTTACATGTTTTTGGTGGTGGGGATAGGCTTCCATAGTTTTACGTGGCTCAGTGAAGCCGGAACCTACTGTGACAATTTCAGAATGTAACAGGCTGTTACTGAAATTTCAGGCAAAAACTCAATAAAACAAGTCTGAAACATTAAGAAAATGTCTATACATTTCAGCTGTTTCAAAAACATTGCTCTGCTATTACCATTTATACTGTAGGAGTTTTGGCTCAACGAGACAATTGTGTTTACACTGCCCTGCTTTAAGGGGGGCAACTGTTGGGCTAGTGTTGTGCGCTACATTCAGAGGTAGCGGTTGAGACGTAGCAAGTACGCAAGTTTACATCTGACTAATATGTGTAGCTTACGGTATTTTTACGAAAAGTGTAGTAAGTGTGAAGAGGCTCTTAGTCTTGATATGCTAATGCTCTGCAAATGGCTTTGTAGATGATGTTCTCTGTATAGTGTTTATGAGGTGGTAAGGACAGCCATGGTCCTCTATTGTTGGTACTTTAGCCTTGTGTGTGTGTGTTTTTGGTTTTACTATGCTTGTGAGGACGAGAAGTCCTCAAAAGAATAGTAAAACAAGGAACATTCTGACAAGTGGGGACATTTTGATACTCCCCACAAGGGAAAAATTATATTTTAGGCTTAGGGCTTAGGTTTAGGGTTACAATTAGGGTTAGGATTTGGGGTTAAGGTTAGGGTTAGGTTAAGGGTTAGGGTTAGGGGTTAGGGAAAATAGGATTCCCACAAGAACAGTAAAACAAACGTGTGTGTGTGTGTTTGTGTGTGTGTTTGTGGTGTGTGTGTGTGTGTGTTTCCTTGTGCCTCTGTGGAACAACTTGTCCTAGGATAATTACACCCTGGATAACAGTGTTATGTTAATCCATTCAGATGTCTCTCTCTCTCTCTCTCTTTATCTTTCTCCTTCTCTCTCTCTCTGCTCTCTCTCTCTCCCTCTCATTCTCTCTCTCTCAGATCACAGATGAAGAGATTGAGCGGATCATGTCGGGACAGGAGTTCAAGGAGGAAGCCAGTCTCCCGGAGCACACCTGGAGCAACAACGGTGACAGTAGTGACCACAGTTCTCCTAGCAACGGCGCCTCCGAGGGCAACCAGCCATCACCTGCTTCCACTCTATCATCCAAGTGAGTTAGCAACTCGTCTACATGAGGGAGCATCTTAACCATTTTCAGCAGTTAGTCCATGAATGAGATAATTAACTGCCCCTCACATTGTAACACCTCATAGCCTAGTTTTTGCCAAGTTTTGGCCAAGTTTGCCACAAAAAGAATGTCTGAATGCAATCTATTCAGACTTAGCAGCGATATCTGTAGATTGAATTCAGCCCATTATCTGCTGTTCTTGGAGACATGCCAAACATAGTCTACATAGTGCAGTGGTATGTATTTACATCTCTCTGTGTAACCATCAACTTATCTATATCAACCATGTACTCTGATTATGTTAGAAATGCATAGAAACAATTACTCATCAAATCTCAACAACAGAGGCACACTTACAGTGGGGCAAAAAAGTATTTAGTCAGCCACCAATTGTGCAAGTTCTCCCACTTAAAAAGATGAGAGAGGCCTGTAAATTTAATCATAGGTACACGTCAACTATGACAGACAAAATGAGAAAAAAAAATCCAGAAAATCACATTGTAGGATTTTTTATGAATTTATTTGCAAATTATGGTGGAAAATAAGTATTTGGTCAATAACAAAAGTTTCTCAATACTTTGTTATATACCCTTTGTTGGCAATGACACAGGTCAAATGTTTTCTGTATGTCTTCACAAGGTTTTCATACACTGTTGCTGGTATTTTGGCCCATTCCTCCATGCAGATCTCCTCTAGAGCAGTGATGTTTTGGGGCTGTCGCTGGGCAACACAGACTTTCAACTCCCTCCAAAGATTTTCTATGGGGTTGAGATCTGGAGACTGGCTAGGCCACTCCAGGACCTTGAAATGCTTCTTACGAAGCCACTCCTTCGTTACCCGGGCGGTTTGTTTGGGATCATTGTCATGCTGAAAGACCCAGCCACGTTTCATCTTCAATGCCCTTGCTGATGGAAGGAGGTTTTCACTCAAAATCTCACGATACATGGCCCCATTCATTCTTTCCTTTACACGAATCAGTCGTCCTGGTCCATTTGCAGAAAAACAGCCCCAAAGCATGATGTTTCCACCCCCATGCTTCACAGTAGGTATGGTGTTCTTTGGATGCAACTCAGCATTCTTTGTCCTCCAAACACGACGAGTTGAGTTTTTACCAAAAAGTTCTATTTTGGTTTCATATGACATTCTCCCAATCCTCTTCTGGATCATCCAAATGCACTCTAGCAAACTTCAGACGGGCCTGGACATGTACTGGCTTAAGCAGGGGGACACGTCTGGCACTGCATGATTTGAGTCCCTGGCGGCGTAGTGTGTTACTGATGGTAGGCTTTGTTACTTTGGTCCCAGCTCTCTGCAGGTCATTCATTAGGTCCCCCCGTGTGGTTCTGGGATTTTTGCTCACCGTTCTTGTGATCATTTTGACCCCACGGGGTGAGATCTTGCGTGGAGCCCCAGATCGAGGGAGATTATCAGTGGTCTTGTATGTCTTCCATTTCCTAATATTTGCTCCCACAGTTGATTTCTTCAAACCAAGCTGCTTACCTATTGCAGATTCAGTCTTCCCAGCCTGGTGCAGGTCTACAATTTTGTTTCTGGTGTCCTTTGACAGCTCTTTGGTCTTGGCCATAGTGGAGTTTGGAGTGTGACTGTTTGAGGTTGTGGACAGGTGTCTTTTATACTGATAACAAGTTCAAACAGGTGCCATTAATACAGGTAACAAGTGGAGGACAGAAGAGCCTCTTAAAGAAGAAGTTACAGGTCTATGAGAGCCAGAAATCTTGCTTGTTTGTAGGTGACCAAATACTTATTTTCCACCATAATTTGCAAATAAATTCATTAAAAATCCTACAATGTGATTTTCTGGAATTTGTTTTCTCAATTTGTCTGTCATAGTTGACGTGTACCTATGATGAAAATTACAGGCCTCTCTCATCTTTTTAAGTGGGAGAACTTGCACAATTGGTGGCTGACTAAATACTTTTTTTCCCCACTGTATGAGATACCAGAGCATAATTGATGGCATTTAGTGTAAGTACAGTATTTATTTGAAGGAGTATTGTGAGTGAAGTGTCTGACCATTGTGTTTTCTCTGTCCAGTCGTTCTATAGAGATGAATGGCGGCTACACGGCTGCTGTCAGGGACCAGTATATCAACACCCCCATGAACACCCCCTACCAGCTGCTACCTCACCTCTTTAGCTACGCTGCCCAGTCAGGCCTGCTGGCCCCCCAGCCCTGCAGCCTCTACCCCCAGTCACACCCCCTGGTGCTGCAGCTAGTAGCTGCAGAGGACCTGACTCCACTGGCCACCCCCATGCTGATAGAGGACGGGTGAGTAGGCCTGCTTAACCTGACATATCTGCTGAGCAATGAAACTGTGGCATGTATTTCACATAACAATTTCAGCAGACATCTATTCGGAAATGTGTTTTAGAAACGTGTGTTCCATTATACAATATTAATTTTCTGACCATGTGACCAGGTCAGCCAAAGCTCCTGGCCTAATACAATAATATGAACAGCATGCTGTTATGAATCCTGTTGATATTCATAGCCAGGCCTCTCTGTCTCCTTGTTATGTGTGTCAGGTACAAGGTGACTCAGGTGGAGTTGTTTGCACTGCTGTGTCGTCTGGCCGACGAGCTGCTGTTCCGTCAGATCTCGTGGATCAAGAAGCTGCCATTCTTCTGTGAGCTGTCCATCGAGGACTACACCTGTTTACTCAGCTCCACCTGGCAGGAGCTGATCCTGCTGTCCTGCCTCACCATCTACAGCGCACAGATCTTTGGAGACCTGGCCGACGTCACCGCAAAGTACACTCCCTCTGATGAGGAGCTGCAGGGGTAAGTACTGCCAGGCAGTGGGATCACTGTCAGGGTTAAACATTGATACTAGGGTTAACCAACCTGCCGGCCATGTGTTCATAGGTTTATTCTGCTATCAATGTATGGAAAGAGACCATTTAGCTGAGAGACCCTACTCTTATTTTGTATTGGCGTTCATGCATCAGAGGTTACAATGCCATATTGTTCGCTCACCTAGGCTTATGTTATTGTAGTATTCTTCGGAGGTGTGGTGGCTGAATATGGCTCTAAAGAGAGGGGATCATGTCAAAAGTTGAGTTGTGTTTCCTTCTGCAACAACAGCCTCCTATAGAGACCACCATTCCACACTGTCAGTTCACTATCTCTAAAGGCTGTGATGTCTCTACCATTACATACGGGTATATTGGCATTGGACGTGTGCCAAATGAACTGTCCTGTGAAGCAGACAACTCCTCTGGACTGTGGCTAGCACAGTCTGGGCCATTATGAAATACAGGTCCGTCTTAGATTGGCCATAATACTGTGGGGGCTTAGTAGTGTGTAAATCAAACCAGAGTTATCTGACCTTATGGTACACTTGCTCCTAATTTTCAATTGAATTTACAGCTGGGTTGTGTTGCAATAGCCCATTTGCCTGCAGTTTGCCCATTCAAGGAGAAGGTGTCTGATTAACTATGGAAGTGCTAAACGGTGTGTAGGCACATGTACTAAAGATATAAGTTAAAGAGACCCAGATCTAAGGGGAGCTTTAGTGTAGAGAAAGGCATGGAGATTGATGAGTTCAGTTATTCAGTTTGACATGTTTTAGTACCTGCTCCTTAAAGCCAGGGGCGCAACTTTCACTGGGGACAGGGAGACATGTCCCCCCACATTCTAAAATTGCATTTTTGTCCCCCCCCCCCCCGTTTTATCATTGGAATGTGATACAAAACGAGGCAACGGTGTGCTTTAGGACCATGTGGACGCCTCCGAGCAGTCGGGTAGGCTGTTTGGAGTGTTTATCTGACTGGATAAAAAATTAAATAATAACACATTATGTCCCCCCCACTTCTAAAACCAAAGTTGCGCCCCTGCTTAAAGCTAAAGGAAATGTTTAGTCAGTGAGATGAATGGCCCTAATCACTTGTAGTGGATCAGGCATAATCCACTTCTCCCCCTTTAATTTCCCCTCATCTTCTTATTATGGTCATGAATCAACTCTCACATTATCATGATTCTACTCTCTTTTAACTTTTTCTTCCTTGAAATCTTCCACTTCTGTAGCGTATGCAAGTGTGTATGAGAGCTGGTAGTCTTGTTGATTTTGTGTGTTTCGTGTGTGTTATGTTTTTGTGTGTGTCACATTTCACAATCTCACCATGTTTTTGTATGCGTCCCCGCCAGGTTCAGTGAGGATAGCATGGAGGTGATGGAGAGGTTGATCTATCTGTTCCGCAAGTTCCACCAGTTGAAGGTCAGCAACGAGGAGTACGCCTGCATGAAAGCCATCAACTTCTTGAACCAAGGTAACACACACATGCACAGCCAGCCAGACACAGCACTGTTCCAACAGGACTTAAAAAACTGCTCTGCTGCTCAGATGCTTTATTGAATAAAAAGTATGAAAATGCCACACATACTGTACATATAGCTAAGGTCCTCTCCTCAATGTGTTCCTGTCTGTCGTGCAGATATCCGCGGTCTGACTAACGTCTCCCAGTTGGAGCAGCTGAACAAGCGTTACTGGTACATGTGTCAGGACTACACTGAGTACAAGTACCCTCACCAGCCCAAACGCTTCCCTGAGATCATGATGTGTCTGCCAGAGGTCCGTTTCATGGCAGGTAAGTTGGGGCATGGGGATTGGCATGGCAGGCGGTGTATTATGACATGCTAATATAAAGGTCCATAGCAAGGTAGGCGATAGGATAATTGTTCTGTACTCACACCCTGTAAAACGTGTTTCTTTCCAGGGAAGCTGGTGAACGTTCCCCTGGAACAGCTCCCCCTCTTGTTCAAAGCAGTCTTGCACTCCTGCAAATCCAGCTTCATCAGCAACAGGACAGGAAGTTCCCCCTGTCTGACTACTATGGGTACCTGCCCCGGGAACTGAGTCCCGCCCCCCTGGCCTCAGGACCGTCCCTTTACAAGGATCTTGCCTGGGGGGTGGGGCAAGGGACTGGTCCTCCTTCCTGTGAATGTGACAAGCAACTTTTGTTCTCTATATATTTATTACACGACAGAGCTGAATGTATGCTGATTTACGCTGTGCACATGCTTCTGTACAAACTAAATGCACATAGATGCATTGGTCTTTGGAGTTTACAAGTGTGTATCCGATTGCTCAACGTGTCGGTGTTGCCATTGTTAGAACTAGATTTTAAAGATGTATTTTATTCGGAATGGGGGCGGGTATAAATGTGTTGACAAGTGTTTTGAGACTACCTCAGGAAGATGTTGTTGCTATTTTCAGGTACCTTTTTCTCGCTGTTTTGAAATGAAGAGGTTGCCCAGTCTAAATCAAATCCCTGTAAATGCTGTAAACTCCTGAATCATAGATGATAAGTAGGCCTTTACCATGACATTGACCAAAGGCATTTCTGCATATTAATTTGAACCAAAGATAGAATAGCATTCACCCCTGCAATCAACAAATGAATGTCCTGAATTTCCCACTGCTACTGGTGTATTTTCCCACTTCTTGTAGTATTTTTGTACACTCTTTCATACATAATCCATAAACAGACATCGTGTAGGGATGGGCTGGTCAATGTAACATTCCTAGTCTTTCAATGAGGTGAAATTTAGTGGGATTGTGGGATCTTCATAGAAAACAAGCATACGGGTATTTTCTACAATCATAGACTGCGGAGCAAATGTAATTCCATGGGGTAGGGGAAGTTTATTAGCTTTAATGATTAATGTTTTTGACCAAAGTGTTATGCAAAGCTTTTTCAAGCATCACCCATAGAAGGGTGATAAGCCGATAGCTCAATGTAATGATTTCTTATCAATGAAGGACCAGGATAAGAAATGAATCAATCTGTGTCGGAGCTGAAGGGGAGACCTTCTGCTGGCCAGACAGACAGACAGACAGTGTAGCTCGTTCTCATCCTAACCCCTAATGCTGAGACACCACAGACAAGGGCCCCACTGTCTTCTCTCCTAGTTCCTGTTGCACCCATCTATTCCTCCAGACATACAACCCATCTTGGCTTTCAGCCCTCCACTGATACTTCCTTGCCCAAACCTGAGCATCTGCACATGCTCACTGGGTTGGTGATCCGATCCGCACAGTTAGGCTACAAGGAAATGCTGGCTTGTTCATTTTTACTACTACGTCTGTAGACAGTGTTGGGTTTAGAATGCTCAGGAGAGTTGGAGACATTAGGGGCGTGTCTATTAATCTGGTCTGGGTTGACAGACTAGAGGTTACTTCTGGCTTGCACACATTGTTTAAAAAAGCTATACAGAGAAATAGGTTCTTTATTTTTTAAGTATGAGACGATAATTTCAACCAGCCGTTAACCGTTTCATAACAACCATTGTTTAAAACTTTGGAGCAATGCAGTCCTTGCAATGACTCTCTTTTATGCATGCTGTGGTGAGGCAGGAGACATTCTTTGACCATGACCTTGGCAAAGTGCCCACCCCGCATGCTCCTCTCTCTCAGGTCCTTGTGGACCGGTATTTAAACAGGGTAAAGTGAGTGTTATGTATTGCATTCAGGAGTTACTCAGTGATCACCATGCTGATGTACTTCTAGGATTCGTAGTTATAGGATTCTGGACATTGTAGGTCCTTTTAGAAAGTGTTTTATTTTTCAACAATTTTTCTGTTTTATGAAAGTGGATGTGGTTTAAGGGCATGTTTTAAGACTTGCAGAACAGATTTAACTGTTGCTCCCAGTTCAGTGTTTAGCTTGTTTGGCTGAAGGTGGTCAGAGACGGGACAGAAATCAGTAAGGCCAGAGAGGTCCCTTTTTCACTCTGAGCATAACCAAGATAACCTCAACCAACAGGTGGGCTTACTATCGCTGCCTCCATCACTAGGACTACCATCTCATGCCCTCAACCACGCTTTGAATACTTTCACCAATGCAGTGTTCTTTGTTTCAGGTAGTTTCAATTAGCCACCTTTCCATGTTTTGTTTTTATACATTTCATGTATTTTTTTGTTTTGGAGTGAAAAAGACCCCTATCATTTGTTTTATTTTGAAATCTTTCTGATGGATGTTGGATGTGATTCTATCAACTTGATGTCACAGTTCCAAAGGAATATAATGTTTATGGTATTGATATTACAATTCTAAAGTGTTTACGGATTGATAACTTTTACTACTACCAAAAACACTGATTTGATGAATAGAATGATATCTGCAGACAGTGAATTAAGCGATGGCAGGCAACTGTGAAACCGGTAAATATATATCCATATTTATGCATGATCTTTCCATATGCAAAGACTTTACTGTATTCCCCAGTGTCCTTTGGGACAGAAGTGATAAGGTTTCACCTCAGATATTAGAAGGGAGTCACACACTGTGGCTTCCTACTTTTCTTTGAGTTTACCATCAGTAAACAAAGCAGAGAACATTGAGGTGTTCCAGTAATGGTGGGGAGCAGCCAGCCACTGGTCTGGGGGACTCAGTACACATGGCACGCCTAAACTCAGGGATCAGAACTTCTTAGGGGACATGTGTGTGAGACCCTAGCCCAGTGCTGCTTCCCCCCTACAGTGTCACTTTGGCTATCATACGTGAATATAGAGACCCTTAGTGACAGATTCTTACTTGCAGTGGCTTTTAAAATCTAACATCACATTGCTACCTTACAACCACCTCTGTTTGCCACTTTCATGTTTTGAAATACATGTATTACAATCTCATTATTATTACTCTTTTTTTCTAGAATGTGTTTTCACCGATAATGGATATGTCATTTGCAATTTCTATACTGAAACTACCTCTTTTTTGTGTCATCACGTATCTTACTTTAACACAGGTAATGCTTTTTAAAATCATATTCATGGGTTTCAATAGCTCGGTTTCCATCCAATTGGCAACAGATTTTCATGCAAATATTAAAAAATCTGCATGAAGACAATATGCACATTTTCCCACCAGTGGTGTTTCCACCAAACAGACTTGTTACAGTAGTGCAAAGAAAATGTAATTTTTCGCTTAAGTTTTCATGTACCAAATGAAAATCTAATGTTCAATGTGTTTCCATCGCATTTTCAACAGTACGGATAGTTTTGTCACAAATACTGTTGCGTTAAATAGCAGATGTTCATACTCTGGCCTTGGCATGTGCGCTCAAGCCAACAGCTCGTACATACAGTGTAGGAAGGCTGTGTGGGTAGGCTAGTCTACATGATGAGATTATTATGGTATTTGTCAAACGGCAGTGAAGCATCGCTCATCATGTCACCAGAATAAGACCCTCAATATTTATTGGAAAGGAGCATCATGCTCATCACCTTTAACATTCACTACCCTGTGAAGTTCATCATGTTATTTAATCTGTAGGCTAATAAACTGCATGCTTTCCCGAGTCGTAGTGTGAGGACCATACATCATATCATCGTGTGACTCAAAGTTTACTTCGATATGATGGTTATTATATCAATATTTGCGCATAAAGGCGTTTCCACCTCCATTTCTTGCATAATGAATATTACTGACACGAAAAGATCCCACCATGTCGAACTAACAAATTATCTGTCGGCATTTATACAATTGTACCGAAATGTCCTGTTTCCATCACAGCTGTCGTGATTTTTTTGTTATACCGTATGACTTTACTCGCGTAAAGAATTTGAATGGAAACGTGGTTATTGCACCAATGTTCTTTATTTTGTGTCTCTTATTTTATCCAGTTACCTCTCACTGTTACTTATTGTGCATGTAAATGTTGCCTCATACGCTATTCCGTGCTACCTCAGGACAAGCTGTAGCCTTGGCCTTAGTGGGTGGGAGTTAGTTTGACCACCTTGCCACTTTACATTTACTCTGACCACTGGTTTTCTGTGATCAATCATGTATTTTCCAACAGCATGATCGATTATGTAATTTACAACATCATACCTCACTGATCAATGAAAACTGACCTTATCTACCACCTTGTCATGATTACCATACCAAAGAATTTCGACTGGATTCTCAACTTGAATCAGTTTTCTTTGTACACTGTCATATTACTAAGTACTGTATTCCAATCAATATATTGTGTTCCTTTACTATATTGATATAGGTGTTATGATGTACCAAACAATCTACTTGTGAAGTGTAAAGAGTGAAATGATCAGTATCATGTTTGATATTTATAATGCTGCTTGTGAGTGATTATCAATTAGAATGTAACTGGCCAAACTGCCATTTACTGTTGTTTACATGTTTTTCCTCACTCCTCTCAACAATAACTGATGAATGAGCTTTGTGTTATAACAGTGTTATAACGAGCTTATTCAGTGTTATAACAATTCATTCACGGAGGCTACTCATCAGCGACCCCACAATGGGGAATGTCCAAGGCAACTAGAAGAGCAGATATAATCATAGCATATCTCTGGGGACAACGTTTTAATGTATTTCCATTGAATGTGAAGATGCCACTAGATATGCAGATGAAATACATGACATTTTTATCTGCCATGTTTTTTGTTTCTTAAATCTTTTGAAAAACCTTTCTCCTCTGCTCGTGTTACTACCTGTGATGAATGTGATCCATACGTGTTAAATGCATGTTTAGAATGTGTTAGGATTTGAAACCAAATAAATGTGAACGTTATGCAACTGTGACATTGTTGTCATGTCAAGCATTATTTAACTGATAGTGAACATTGTCAAGATATGCTTCACTTATGTGTTTGATGCTTACTTGATATAAAAGATAACAGTTGCTATTTGATAATTCTGTCTGATGGTACTAATCTTATCAATACATGTACATCTACACTCTTAGAAAAAAAGGTGCTATCTACAACCTAAAAGGGTTATTCGGCTGTCCCCATAGGAGAACCCTTTTTGGTTCCAGGTATAACTATTTTGGTTCCAGGTTGAACCCTTTTGAGTGCCATGTAGAACCATTTACACAGAGGGTTCTTCATGGA